CATATATATATAAATGCTAAAAAGAAATAAATTGTAATGGGTTAATATGTCTTTTTTTTAATATGCTTTTAGTCAACCTCTAATTTATATGTATAAAATTAAATAGATTATTATTATTATTATAAAATTACATGTTCTTATTGTAGTTAGATGTCTAATTTTGGATATAAATTAGATTAGTCGAGTCATTCATTTTGTGAGTATATTGAGTTAAACATATTTTTAAATTAAAATTGAAGTATAGTTACTTTTTATTTTAGTTAAGTCAAATCAAGTTAGTTTTATTTATTGCTTAAATAGACATGTATTTTCATAATATTTATTTACTCTTTATTTTAGTTAAATCAAATCAAATTAGTTTTATTTATCGCTTAAATATACATGTATTTTCATAATATTTATAAATTTATATGTTGATTTCTAAAAAATATTAGAAAATAAAGTGTACCTGATAAATTTTTGGATGTTCATGAACATATATATTTTTATTATTTTGAAAATATATTTTATGTTATTTAAAAATATATATTAATGGGGGTATTACTATTTTGTGAACTTTCCTTTTTAATAAAGTCATATTATAGAGATGTATATTCGTTTTTAATTTTTTAAAAAAGTTTAGAAATATTTCCTTTTTATTATATATGTTATTTGGAAAAAGATAAAAAAATAAACTAAATAAAAAAATAATCTTAAAAACTAAAAATTCATTAAGGGAAGTAATCAACCATCGTGAGAGTTAACGTGAGCACGACACATAAGAAACTGACTTGTCAAATAATATTATAGAGATTTCCTTATTTTATTGTCTTATCAAGAGCTTATATGCATATGATTCTCACACAGTTTAGACTTGAGCTACATTTTTGTGCAGCTAAGTATATCGTATAAGTGGGTAGGTGGTGATGACATTGCTGCTTCTATTACTAGGAAACGAAACGAGAAGGGTAGTTTAAAATGACAACTTTCAAGACTCTTAGAGGCAAAAAAAAAACGCAATTTACAAATCTAGTAAATACAAAATCAGTGATTGAGCATAAGACAAACCTTTCCTTGGTGTTCTTCTCTAACTAATTAACTAACGTTAGGCAATGAATGCATCCAACAAAAACTTCAAAACTAGTCTCAAAAGATCATTGTAACACATGAGGCACAATGTGACATAGCAATTTTATGTTACTGGGACAGAGCAGACGCTGCCAACTTATCCTGTCAATCAAAGGTGGAGAGAACAATTTTTTTTCAGACACGTCTTGTTGATAGCTCTGAACAAACGTTTTCTAATAAAGATGAAACAAAAAGAAGACAGGAAAAACATACCTACCATCCTCGAAACATTTCACTTGCTTAATCAGCAGTCATGGCTGATACAAGTATTAACAGGTGAAACATTTCTTACACGACCGATAAGTGCAGAAAGTTCTTGGTTAGTGTAATCAAGCCGTTCTTTTGAGACCATAGACTCTGTCAAGAGAGTCTCAGTAAGCGACTGAAACGTTTGAGCACAGTCATCATCACCAATACCCAAACCATTTTGATTCTCATCAGTAACAAGGGAGCTCTCCTGTCTCCACCGTACCAGAAAGTACTGCTCCGGTATATGGAAGCAGTTCTTCACAGCCAGAACCCGAAGAGAATGCCTACACAAGATTCCCGAATGCTCAAACTCCTTGCAAGAACAATGAATCTCCACGTTTTCCGGGTTCCAGAACACACAACATTCCCCTTCCATTTTCTTAAAGTGATGCAAGATGTATGGACCGTTGGCCATCTCAGCTACCGCATACTGAAGAGACAAAACCATCTCGTTTTGTAACACGGTGAAGGCGTAAGGCGTCAGAACTGCTCTAGCATGATCTTCCATAGGCATACATGTCTTCATGGTGGGATAAGGAACTCGCGGCGAGATTTGCTTGGCTAGAGTTGTTGCAGCACTGACCTCTTCAAGTAATGCTTGCATACACGATGGTCCCGAGACGATTCTTTTCAAGAAAGAATCTAAAGATAGATTAAACTCAGGGGTCATAGTCTGAGCTAAAAAATGCTGTCTGACACAACAAGGTAACCAGGTTTCTCTACACGAGTAAAGCAAAGCCGCATGCCTATCTGAACCAAGACCAAACCGAGTGATAAGTAGACCCCACTGCTGTTCAAATTCATCTACACTCCCTACCCTGCATAACATCTCAAACCCACCTCTAAACTCATCATAATGCGACCCAAGAGCCTGAGAAAACCAGCTTCCTAGCTTGGACACAACATGCCACATAAACACCACATGGTTAGTGTTAGGCATCTCCCTCCCAATAGCTTCCTTAAGTCCTCTATCTATATCCGTCACTATCGTCTGAGGATGCCCTCCCCTCATAAAACGAACAAAACTCTGTCCAAAAAAACAAAACAAAAAAATGAGAGCATGACCACCAGCAAAACCGAACGAAACATTCACCTTGCACCCCCAAATTTTTTGAAGAAAATTACAACCTAGGCCCAAAATTGTTTTTTACACTCCCAATTTTGTAAAAATAAAATATTAGTTGAAATCTTTAATAAATCACCTATATGGCCCCCTAAATCTCAGAGGCTTCTGACCACAACATATAACATGTACAATAAACACAAACACAACATATAACATATACAATAAACACAATAAATTTTTTGAAGAGAATCAATTCGATTTTCAAAACATTGTTTTTAAGTAAGAAATAGAATGTCAAACTTTCTCAATACACTTTTTCAACTCATCAACAGTTTTTATCAACCAAAGTGATTACCTAGTTACAACCTCAACAAATTTAACCTAACACACAAACAATGATACTTAGTGTCATATATAAACAATAACTCAACAACAGTTTTTATCAACCAAAGTGATTACCTAGTTACAACCTCAATAAATTTAACCTAACACACAAACAATGAGACTTAGTGTCATATATAAACACTAAATTGGAACCTATGATACTCAATCGAAACGTCATTGTATTTTTTCACCACAACAAGAAGAAAAAAAATTAGTTGAAATCTTTAATAAATCACGCATATAGCCCCCTAAATCTCAGAGACTGCTGACACCACTGACATATAACATTTACAAATAAACACAAACCTGTAAGGCCCATGTAAAAGAGCGGCAACTCTCATCCTGAAGCAAAACACACCCCAAAAGAATCGCATTCCCATGATTATCAATCCCAAAGAACACACCAAGAAGCAAACCATAAGTAACCGACCTATAACTCGTATCGAAAACAACCACATCACCAAACAAAGAATACCCCTCAACACACTCCCCATAACCCCAACCCAAATTCTCAACTTTCCCGCTCTCATCAAACCTAACCTCATAAACAAACCCCATATCCTTCCTCTCCCCAAACCCTTTACAACACTCCAAAAGCTCCATCAAATCACATTCCCTCTTCTCATTAACCAAAGCATCGTTCTCCAACACACTCTTCTTACACCCCCTAACAAAATTCCTAACGTCCTTTTCGATAAACGGTAAATTCACAACTCCCTTCTCTAACTCTAACAACTTAACAATCCGATTAACGGGGAATCCGGCTTTCGAAAGGAGGAGGATCTTCTCTTGATCAACCCGCTGTATCTTCCGATACGCGGGGAGGAGTCTAACTTCCTCGTCTCCGAGTAGCTCGTGGTTATGTACGTCGCTGAACTGCGAAACGTACCATTGAGTTATATTCTGTTGGTGTTGGTGTTGGTGTTGATTGATTACTTCTTTTGTTAGGTAGAGTTTGGCGTCGCATCCGCAGCGGACGGATTTGCGTTCGCGCGGATGCGAGGCGTTAGGTTTTTTTCGAGGCTGGTTGAATCCGGAGCGGTAACAGACGAAGTCTCTTCGGTAGATGCCTAAGTTGTGGCTCTCGGTGGATCGGGCTTTGCGGATTGAGAAGCCGTTGGTTTTGGCGAAGGTTGTGTAGTATTCGAAGGCTTCGTCGTCGGTTTTGAAGATTTGACCTACGTATGGGGTGAAGAGTTGTGGTGATTGTGATTGTGATTGTGATTGTGATTGTGATTGTGATTGTGATTGTGATTGTGATTGTGATTGTGATTGTGGTTGTGATTGTGATGAGGTTGTTGTTGTTGATTGGATCTCGGATTTGGTTAAGTTTGTTGTTGATTCGTCTGTTCCTTCGAGGCGGATGTAGCATTTCCAATCGCCGCAGGGACATTGCTGACGACGGATCCAGATGTTGTTTAACGGCTTTGACGCCATCGCCGGAGGAATCTAACGAAATTGAGGTGATGAGAGTTGCCGGTTCTGAAAAAATTAGGGTTCATAGGAGGATTTGAAAAGGAATTGCAGCGTTGGGAGTTCGAACTCGAGACATTGTGGCGCTCAATGATTAGGACCGGCTAATACTAAATCCGGTTTAGTAAACCGGTATAATATTACTCAATAAGTTCAATTTGGAAGAACGACAGTGGTTAGCTTACATGAGTAATTAGCTTATATCAAAAGAGACTTTTCATATAAACATGACAGTGTATACTGTATAACTTAAAAAGAGCCAATTATCAAAACTGATTGTCTATATTTCTAAAATTCACAAGAAAAAAGATGATTATTGGAAGGAAAATAACCTAAAAAAGCTAAATCAAACAGAAACCAGAAAATGATGTCAAGTTACTATAGGATTACACTGAGCCAAGAACATAAGGATCACTGTTTTCTCTGCCCTCTCTCTTTCTCTGCCTTTACAATGAAAAAATCCTTCAGGCATATTATGATGATAAGTCCACTCTCATCTTGATTCATGCTCTAACCTCCACACACACTTTCTTCAGAAACTTGAATCAGTACTAATCTAATCTTAGTAAAGCTAAGTAATGATATAAAACCAAAGAGATGCATAAGGATACAAACGAATAGAAAAAAGTGGTTAGCTGACCTGACAGATCATAGCCAGTATGTCATGTACATGCCATGAGGTAGTTGCATCATGAAATGAGCTCCACCACCACTAGTCATACTATGATGCTCGTCGTTTTGGTTTCTTCCGGATGACTCCAAACCAGGATGGTATCCATGCAAAGATTCTGTGCCAGAAGGAGAAGGTAACAAGTTTCCACTTCCTCTCTAGCTGAAACGTACCAAGAATCACCTGCAAGAGAAGCCAAAACCAAAGCCAAAAAAGAGAGACTGAACTTAATTCTATTTACATGCAAATGTTTTAAACCTGAATGACAGTTTTTTTTCTTCTTTTCGCTAAAATTTGGTGCAACCTGAATGACAGTTGGCAAACATTTAAATAAAGAAAGACAAGAGGAAAGGTACCTGAACTGGACCAGTAACTTTTAGGAGTCCACCAACACCACCACCAAAGATCTGACCATCTGAACTAGACAAACAAACGCTAAGACCACCAGTTTTACCACCATGCTCGCCCCGAATATAAGATCCACTCAATGACATGATTTCATACTGGCCCTAAAAATAAAAGTTTGTAATTCTGAAGCAAGTTGATAACTATATGCAACTCTCAAGCATCTATCTCAGAAATACATAAGATTATTTACTGATGAAACGCATATTGCACATAACAGAACGGTTCAATAAAGTTCTGTGAACAGAGAATTAGTTCATCATCACAACCAAACATATATTCAAGTCCAAGTTGACAAAGGTCGTCAACCCATCATTATCATTTCTTGGCATCACTAATTTCTGTGGGACTTATAAATCATCCCTCTCATGATTTTAAACCGGATGGACAACAGTTTTCTTTGAAATTCCTTTGAAAAGGCAAAGTCATTCGCCATCGGTCTACACTCATTTGGCAACTTATTATCTTGCATTTGTTCAGATGTTACAAGCTTATATACAACTTCTAATGAAAAGGTCAACTTTGTTTGGAGCCTTTAAAATATTTCATTGTCGCCTCTGAGTTAAAATAATGTCAGCAAGCAAGAAATGATAAACTAAAAAAAACACAAATTGTTATATCTTTAACTCATGTTCAAACAATCAAACCAAAAGCACTAATTATTCTTGTACGCTATTTTACTCGGTCAAGACTGGATAAAAGTCAACGCGTTGGTGCCAAAACTAGAATTATTGACAGCATATATTAAAGGGCTATATATCAAATTATAAATTAACAAGTTGTGGATCATGGACCGCGCTTATAAGTGTGCATATGAAACACAGACGACCTCACAAAAAGAAACACAAAGGCATAGAAAAGAGCGTGAGAAAAGATGGAGAAACAGTTGCATAAAACTATGGAGGCTGCTCAGGTTGAACGAGGCATCCGAGACACATCACCAGAAAAAGAGAAGGAAAAATCTCCTAAGCATAGAGGAATATTCCACCTCCACCATCACTCAAAAGGTGAGAAAGAGGAAGACAAGACGAAGAAAGAGGGGTCAAAGAGAGAGAAGATAGCTGCAGCAATGGTTGGTCTTGGAGCCACCCTCAAGAAGAAGAAGGAGAAGAAGAAGAAGGATAAGGGCCACCGTGGACGTGGTGGAAAAGAGGAAGAAGGAGCAGAGGAGGAGGAAGAAGAAGAAGAGGAGGAGGAGGAGAAAGAAGGAGGCGGAGATGATGGTGGGGATGAAGAAGGGGGAGGCAAGTTTAGTGCTTTCATTTCAATGATAGCTGGAGCATTTGAAGAATAAGATTTTATCTTATGATCACTTTGTTGTATATTAATTCGAACTTGCTTTTACAGTTGTTGTTTTTTTTAATAATTTGAAGCATGTTGTTGTAAAGTTCTTTTTAACACTTGGTTTTTTATTAAACTGGTCCAAAACCATACATCATATTTAAAAAAATGAACATATCTATTAATAGTAGCAATGTCAAAAGTTGTAAATTCCATCTAAGTGAAAGATTATGTCTTTTTATTACAAACAAAAATTAGATTTTAAAAAATACCTAAGATGTTTTTATGTAAAAAAACTGTTTTTGAAATAGTATGTCTATTTAAATTTTAGTTACTTTTTAAAATAGTTAATCTTTATATAATAAATGTGTTTTCTGAAATGATGCGTCTATTCAAATATATAATGTGAATGTATCATTTAAAATAATTACTTATAATTAGACATTTGTGACTATTCATAAAAATAACTAATTTTAATTTGAAAAGTGACTATTCACTATCTGTACTTTGAATGTTGTGACAATTCATAAAAATAACTACTTTTAACTTAAAATATTGTAACTATTCACTACCAATAATTTTAAAATTATGACTATTCATTAAAATAACTAACTTTAACTTGAAAAGATTGTAATTATTCATATAGAACTTTGAAAATATATAAATAGTATAAAATTTCTACGTAAAAGTTTCACTAATCTAAAAAATAGTGAAGAATAAAATTTCTTTCTAACAAAACTATATTTCTGATTATCTTAATTCTATGAATACATAATTGATATCCTATAAATTCATACACTTAGATTATATAAAAAAGTTTGACAGCGACACTTATGTTACATCTGTAATAATGACTGTTTCATGATATAAATTTGCGGTCGGCATAATTAATGTCTTATGTGTGACCTGATGATTTGCATGTATTTAGGAATTCTGATGTTGGATTATAAAGTAAAGAATTATGTTGCTTAAACATAATACATTTGCTTAAGTGTACATTCATAACCATGTATATAAGCACGGCATCTGGAAATTTTGCATATTGGTATTTAAGTTTCTGGAACTTTTTTTTTTGTAAATCTGGAAATATTGTTTGTTTTTAGTTTAAGGTTCTGTAAACTTTCACACATAAAAGAACAAGTGCAATAGTTGTATAAGTGCTTGAAATTTGTTTTTCTTTTGTTCTCGAATTTTGCTGATAGTATGCATAAACGATTGGTTTGCCGTACAAAATAAAATTCATATAAAAGTGTTTTACAGGAAATACATGAATGCGATTTATGGAATTTGTTTTTGTTCACATGTGCATGCATTTTAACATTCTGAGGAATGAAAAATGTTTTGCATGCATGTGGTTTAATTACTCTAAAAAATTTGTGAAGGTTATAATTTTTTTGGTGAAAGTCATAGTTAATTCTATAAAAAGTTACTAGATATATTTTCTTTATGAAAAGATACCATTTAAATTGTTCAAAGGTGACAAATAAAAGAATGTCCATTAATTTATTAATTATTTGATAAATAGTTATCGTTTATGAAAGAATTATAATGATTAATTAATGACTAAGTATATGGTTAAGTTTTCCATATATCTTTAAGAATCTATGTAGTTAAATAATATTAATAAAATATCATTATTAATACGGACATAATTAATAATTCTTGAAAAATCCAAAATATGTGTATTTGTATCCCTAAGAATTGAATTAGTTTAATAGAAATTATCAAAATATTTAAAGATATATTTTCTTAATGATATGTTTGAAGAGGTTATCAAAGTGTCTTACGTGTATCTTTTAATTACTTGTGAATATTTTTGATAAATTTTCTTTCAGTTATGTTGCATATCTAATTTGTATGCATTTTGAAAAATCTTAAAAAATATCTTAAAATATTGAGGTAATTCGGTATGTTGAGTAGATTAATTATTTATAATATTATATTAAAATTTATCCTTTTTAAATTTCTTTAATTTATATATATTTTTAATTCTAATTCGGTTTCATTTATTCGGTTTCAAATCAAATATTTGAACTATTTTGACAATATTATATATTAGTAGATAAGCACCAATAAAATGTAAAACATGTGATGTATATTAAAGAGGTCTGAGACCTTATTTGTCCATTTTTCTATAGAAATTACATTTTTATAAGGGTTAGTTCACTGATTTAGGTGCCATATGAAATTTTATTAAATTACTCATTAAAGTATTAGAAACGATGTCCATGTACCGTGAAAATAAGTTTAACATACATTAATATAAATGTATGATGTGATTAAGTATTTTCTTAGTCAACATGAAAGAGCTTAAACTTCTGTAAATATTGTTTATCGGAAAACTCGATCTTTTTGTAAGGGTTAACCCAGAGATTTCAAAATAAATTATAAAATACGGTATTTTTATTTTAATGCGTAATAAATCCAGCACAGATACATGATGAATATCAAGGATGTCTGACACCTTTTTTTCCCCCAATTTCTCTAAAATATAGAGATTTCTTAGGGTTTAGTTCTTTGATTTACATTATATGAAGTGTTATTAAATTACTCGTTGGAAATTTTTAAATGATGCCCATGTACAATGAAAATAAATTTAGGATACATAGTATAATTTTTTAAGTGTGTTTAGATGTTTTAAACGGAACTAAAGAAGCTAAACTTAAGTACAAATATCATTTATCGGAAAACTTTGATATTTTTGTAGGGCTTAACCCACATATTTCAAAATAAATGAGAAAATATGAAATTTTTGTATTTATACATATCTGCATCCAACATTGATATATGATGAATATTAAAGAGTTTTGATACCTTAGTTGTCCAAATTTCTCTAGAAAATAGAGATTTAATAGGGTTTGGTTCATTGATTTTGGTTGTATATGGAGTTTTATTAAATTCTTCGGTTGAATATTAAGAATGATGCCCATATACCATGAACATAATTTTAATACATTAATATAAATTTTGAATGTGGTTAACTATTTTTAAACAAAATTAAAGAGGCATATATATAACTTTTATCGGAAAACTCAATATTTTTGTAAGGGTTAATCTACATATTTCAAGATAAATTAGGAAACATCATATTTTTGTTTTAGTGAATTGCTGCATCATGCACTGACATAGTATAGAGAATAAATAGGGTTGAGACCTTAGGTGTTCCCGTTTCTATAGATTATAGAGGTTTTATAGGGGCTAATACACTTACTAAGTGATATATGAAGTTTAAATATATTACTTATTGGAAAATTAGAAATGATGCCATGTACCATAAAAATAAGTTTAGCATACATATATATAAATTGGGAGTGTGGTTAAGTTTTTTTAACCAACACTAAAAAGGCCAAATAGTATAGATAGTATTTAAAGAAAAAATCTTTTTTTTTATGTACGGGTTAACCCACATATTTTAAACTAAATTTGAAAATATAGAATTTTTGTTTTAATGCATAGATGGATCATTCACTGGTATAGTATGCAGATTAAATATGTTTGAGACCTTAGGTATTCTCATTTCTTTGTAAAATAGAGATTTTATAGAGGTTAGTACACTAATTAGATCGTATGTGAAGTTTTAAAAAATGATTCGTTGGAAAATTAGAAATGATGCCATGTACCATAAAAATATGTTTAGCGTACATTAATATGCATTAGAATGTGGTTAGTTAGTTTTGAAAACAAATAATCAGGCTATACTTTAGTATGTATAACATTTCTTGGAATCACACTCGATCTTGTCGTAAGATAAATTAGAAAATATGGTATTTTGTTTTAATGCATAATTTCATCACGCAGTGATGTGTGA